AAGAAGACATAGCGAGACATTAGGAGACATAGTGAGACATAAGAAGACATAGCGAGGCATAAGGAGACACAACGCGACATAGCAAGACATAAGGAGACATAGCGAGACATAAGGCGACAGCGAGACATATGGAAACATAGCATGACATAAGGAGACATAGCGAGACATAAGAAGACATAGCGAGACATAAGGAGACATAACGAGACATAGCATGACATAAGGAGACATAGCGAGACATAAGGAGACATAGCGAGACATAAGGAGACATTGCGAAACATAAGGAGACATAGCAAGACATAAGGAGACATATCGAAACATGAGGAGGCATGAGTAGCAAAACATAGCGAGACATAAGGAGATATAGCAAGGCATAAGGAGTCATAGCGAGACATGTGGAGACATAGCGAAACATGAGGAGTCATAGCAAGACATAAGGAGACATGGCGAAACATATGGAGCCATAGCGAGACATAAGGAGACAGCGAGACACAAGGAGACATGGCGAGAAATAAGGAGACATAGCGAGTCATAAGAGGACAGCGAGACATAAAGAGACATGGCGAGACATAAGAAGACATGGCGAAACGTATAGAGACATAGCAAGGCATGATGAATAATAACGCGAGGAATTGGTTCAAAACTTCGATCATTGGTTCAACTGAAATATTTTTCGGAAGCTACATCGCAGACTGCATGCAGGAAAAAATTCCACTGATATATAGATGCATCTTCATTAATAAAAATAAAAAGAAACTGCAGTTAGATGCATCGTGAATATATTGATAAGGAGGATATTACTGTTACATTACTATTCCTAACAAATGAAATCAGTAGAAATTAGCTACCACTCCAGTAAGAAATTTACATTAACGGCAAATTAAAACTAAAGTGAATTCCATACAATTTTTCATCCGAATCCAAATGGCGTACGGGTGCCGATAACAGGTCATCATTCCCGATAGCTGTGATTAGACTAAATCAACGCAAGTGAGATGCAATATACTAAAGCGGTCAGGAACCTTAACATTGAAATAAAAAACACTATAAAATAACACTCGACGTATGCAAAAGATTCTGAAAATCACAAGGGAGCCATCTCGGAGAAAATCTAATTACATGGGAACGTCTGTTGTAAGGAGAGGCAGTCGAAGAGGTGCTCAGTGGAGCGAAATGGTTCCCCCACACTCGAGACAATCCGCGCTTGCGAAGGGCCCCACCCTGAATGTGAAGAACCCAAGGTGCCTACAAAAGCACGAACGTGGCTGATCCAGCTCGGAGTGGTAGGGGCGCGGGAGCATTGCTTTTTCGGGGGCGCCCTGGAGAGGTGGGGGCGGCCAGGACCCTGGGGAGGTGGGGCGGCCAGGACCCTGGGGAGGTGGGGCGGTCAGGACCCTAGGGAGGTGGGGCGGTCAGGACCCTGGGGAGGGGAGGCGGTCAGGACCCTGGGGAGGGGAGGCGGTCAGGACCCTGGGGAGGTTAGACGGCCTGGATCCTGTTGTTCTCGGTGGTCCCCGCGGTGTTGGAGGCGATGGCCCTGCGAAGGGTCCGTAAAGGCTACACATAGGAGCCTGCTGGCAGGCAGCCACCTACCAATACTTTGGCAATGAAATGACCAAAGCGAGACAGTATGTGGCCACCTTCACGAGTCTACACTGGTGAGGTAGAGACAATCCGGAAAGAATGAGCGTAGGCTTGGAGGGCGCGCGCCAGGAACTCAGCAGAATCTTCGCCGTGGGGGTACCCAGGCTGCGTGCTACTTTGCTTCTGTAGGTTCCGCGGTCGGGCCAAACAGCAGACATTCCCCAGTCGACACCTCTCCTCCTGGTCACTATTGGATGCACTCCTGCGGATGGTGAACTTAGGCTGGCAGAGTACCTGCAAAAATTATTTAATTTAGTTCAAAATAATTGCATTTATAAAAACTGATGGAGCCTCCACCTGGAAAAAGGACAACAATGAATTTGAAATCAATGAATGGAGGACGTGAGGCCTTAGTAAGATCAATGTATCATAAACAGTAGATTGGATGAGCACATTTGTGAGAGCTATTGCCACAATTAGCAGTGAAATCAGCGCCTTGATTCGTTTTATCAATATTTAAATCCATTAAATGCCTATCTTGTTCAATTTGGCGATTATGCCCAAATGATTAAAGGTTTATATGCTTGAAATTGACTTTAAAGATACATTAAAATACGTTAATGAAGCGGAAACTGCTGAGCCTCAATATACAGAGGGAATCACAAACCTCTTCAGATACCACAGTTGCGCAGACTGAATTCGGTTGTTCGTCGTCTGTGGTGTAGTGGGAAGCGAGAAGCGTCACCAGTCCGTCCACGAGGCACGACACCTCGCATTTGCTGATGGAACGACAGCGCTGCTCTGCGTGCACTAATGACGGTCCTGAAGAGGCAAAATATGGATTTAATACAATCACCATCTGCTTTAATCATCAAAGCAAAATATTATTCAAATATTGACGTAGAAGACAGTTTACTAGCATATTTTTTCTCAGAGCTCAACTGATTTTCAGAGAATAGTGTCGATACATTAGTGACATTTTTGACAATGTGCAGAATATAAACCAAGAAAAATTCTTCAAACTTTAAATTAAAATTGAGACAACTTGCCCAAGACAGAAAGAGCATGGGTCAAATGGCCTCTTTCATGAAAAGCTTACATGAAGATCCAGCTCCTTCAACTTCACTTCTAATGAATCCTGTCACAAGTCAAAGTATGATGGCCATGATGAGGCAGAGAAGTGCAGTAAGTACTGCAATACTTCTTGTAGGGGATCTTCTGTCTCTACTCCCATGGCTGGCTCAGCAGGTGATTCAGCTGGGAAATAATTATTGTTTGGTAAATAATTATGCCAACTAATGCCCCAAAGTACAAAATTTGTAATTTAATTGAAAAAATATAAAACTGACTATACTGTTTGAGAAGTTTAAATCAGCACGCATTGATAGAAAATACAATCACAATGCAATACGCATAAGTTTTTAATTGAAAGTATATTTTATGGATAAAACATTGTATAAAATAATATAACAACTTTAATTGTGCAAGGTAATTGTGACGAACTAATCTTGAATAATAGCTAATTAATCGCGTCACCTTAAAGTTCAGTTGGTCTAATTGTCACGTCCACCAATGACCGGAAATTAAATGCAACTTCCCTATTGGTTTTATCAGCAAGAGCTTGGACGGAGCGGATAGTTACTCAAACAAACTTTCTTGAATTTATTTATTAAAGATGAACGGCCAATTGAAACTAAACAAATAACACTATTGATTTTACAGAGGTGCGGCATATGAAAAGAACTAACAAGTTAAATGCGGAGGAAGCTAAAGTGCGAGGAGAGCAAATAATGAGCAATATGCGAGGAGAGAGCTGGAGCATTGAGATCTGAGAAAACGCACGATCCTACAACAGAAAACAGAAAGTAAATATCTACGCATGACAAGTCGTATATACACAAAAATCACGATATTCCATCAAGTATTCCAAGCTAGATTTCACCACCAAAGCACGCAGCTCACCCTGGCGTCGGAGTCAAAATCCTATAAGAGAGGGACCAGGACGCAAGTCGGGATCGGCATAGTATCTGACGGCTATAATCAATTCAACACCGACGTCAGAGTCGGTCCTACTTAAACTTCGTAGTCTGACATACAGTAGTGGGAAATTTGCAGCAACACTTCATTACAAAACTCCCCCTCACGATGGAAATTTCCTACTAATATCGTGAAAGAAACTGAGCAAACTTCTTATGAAATACTGTCGACTGTACATAGGTCTATAGCTACACAAACTCATTAACCTATCAACAGACAATAATCCTTACAAACTACGGTTATCGAACAAACTATTAACTAAACACTTCCACTCCTTGGATATTACTCAACGGGGTATCGTGACAACATGTCAGCAAGGTAATTGTCTTTACCTTTAATATATTTAATACTAAAGGTATACTGTTGCAGCTCGAGAGCCCAACGCATAAGTCGTGAATTCCTATTCTTATTCTGTTGCAGCCACTGTAAAGGTGCATGATCCGTCTCTACTACAAACTTACTACCATACAAATGATCAGAAAACTTAGCAATGGCCCAACGAATGGCTAGACATTCCTTTTCTACCACAGAATAATTTAGTTCGGCACTGTTCAGCTTGCGACTTATAAACGAAATTGGCTTTGGATCACCCTGAATGTTCTGGTACAAGACCGCACCTATACCACTGTCGCATGCATCTGTTTGTAACACAAAGGGATAGCCTAATTTTGGTATCGTTAACGCAGCATCATCTGAAACTAATTTTACAGCAAGTTTAAAATTGTTCAGCCTATCCTCTGTCCATACAAGTTTATCTGGAAACTGTTTACGCAACATGTTAGTCAACGGGGCTATGACATTTGATACATTTGGTATGAAGCGACGGTAAAAATTAAGCAACCCTAGAAATGAACGAAGGGATTTCTTATCCTGAGGCAAAGGAAAGTTTATGATCGGTAAATTAATTAGCGGCGCTCTAGGGGGTTTACTTGAAACTTTGGTTTGACAAATTTCGCATGACTGACAAAATCTTCTAACGTCGTCAAACATCCTGGGGCCGGATTATCAAAACTTCGTAACTTTTTGTACTTACGACAAAAAAGTTCTGCGGTACGTAAATACACCCTAATTTTGGCTTTATCAAAACTTTCGTACGCAAGTCTTAGCTAAAAGCCTAAATTTTTTTCCTGCGCAAATTTTTCCCGCGTAAATGTTTTTATAATACCACTGCTAGTATTACGTTGTCATAGCAACGCCACTCGTAAGTCAATTTTGGGTACTTACGAAGTTTTGATAATACGGCCCCTGGCCAATAGAAATGATTGAATATCCTATCTTGGGATTTACGCGTACCTAGATGACCTGACATCACTGTGTCATGAGCAAGTCTCATTACTTTCTGACGAAATTGTGAAGGGAGTACAATTTGTTGCACAATATCCTTAGAATGCTTGTGGCGAATACACAATCTGACAAGTACACCATTTCGAGAAACAAAACGCGGATAACCAGTAGAAATATCTCCACCTTTCCTGAAGCATGATTTTAATGAGGAATCTTCGCTCTGAAATCTTATCATATCTTCAGTTGAGATTTTATCAAGATCAAACTGTATAGGCATTAAACTAACCTTTGTAGGCATTTGCAACTTCGTTGGTGAATTCTCTTCCTTTCGCTGAGCTCTCGCTTGCACAGCACACGCTTGCTCACCAACAACTTCCTCAGTTGTAGCCCTCAACGTCGTCTTAGCTCCACAAGCACAGGTGGCACCTGGTATGTTGCCCAGCAATACGTCAAACGGTAGTTCAGGTAGACAAAGAGCCTCCACTCTACCGGTGAAATGTGGACAACGAAGATCCACCATCGTCTTTGGTGCATTGACTGAAAGATCATCAGCAAAAGTAAGCTTCACAGTCTTACTTGAAATGCTGCTTTCGGGAGCAAGAGAAGGCCTGACGAGAACAGCAGTAGCTCCTGTGTCGCGCAGAACCTTGACGCTCTTGCCATTACAAGTTCCATTAGAAGTAGGGAGGTAACTATTATAGTCAGGATTGGACAAAGATGCATTCACATTAAAAGTATCATCCTTCCTGCTTAGTCTCACGTCTCCGGATTTCTCATCAGGTTTAGACTTGCGTTTCTCTGGGCAAAATCTAGAAAAATGACCGATTGACCTACAATTAAAGCACTTCTTTTCATTAATGTCATTGTCATTTGACGCCGCACCATGCGTCGCACTCTGAATCGAAGGCACGTCATTCGGTGATCCACCTGATTTAGATCTACAAAATTTAGCGATATGTCCTGGCTTATTGCATCGCAAACACACAAATGACATTCTCGCATTAACATCAGAACTGGCAGGTTTAGGTGGACGATGAATAGCTTGGAAGTTGTCTGCCATCTCTATCACTGAATCCAAATCGCGTCTGAAGATATCACGCTCCTTCAAATACTCGGTCAAAGGGCGTTCAGCAGCACGTAGAATCTGGTCTTTCAACAACAGTTCTTCCATCTTCTTTACATCGTTATTCACTTCTGCAATCTGGCACATCTTACTGAAATTTTCTCTCAAATATAGTACAAATTGTCTGAATGAACCACTCTTCTGCTTGGCATTCCTGAATCTGGACTGGTAGTCGTAAATTGTATAACCAAAGGTCTTTACGATCTGGTGCTTAATTTCAGCATACGTAGACTCCAATGGTAAAGTACTGAGGAAAAGGCTAACCTTGGTGTTAGCGAAACCATTTAACAAGGCCGTAACGGCGATGGTATCACTCCACTGATTGGCTTCTTTAACCTTCTCAAAAGTATTCAAATAAATTGAGACATCTTCTCCATCCTTGTAGCCGGCCAACTTTATAACAGATCGGCTTCCAGAAGAATTAATTGGACTGGAGTTAGCTTGTAGTCTGGCAAGTTCAAGCTGAGCTTCACGTGCCTGCCGCTCGTCCTGCAGTTTGAGCTTCTCCAGCTCGAGCGCTCGTAGTTCACGTTCGTGAGCTCGCTTCTCTCTCTCAATCTCCTGCTCAGCTCTCTCTCTCGCTCCGTCCCGCGTTAATTCTAATTTAAGCAACTCGCGCTCTTCCTCTTCGGATCTACGGTATTCTACTTTACGTTCTTTAACATAATCGCGCAATTCTTGCCCCTCAAATCCTAAGTTTTTCCCGTCCGTGATGAAAGTTGAGTCTAGTGACAACTTGAAAAAAATTTACTGCAATAGATAGCAATCAGAATTGAATAACAAATTGAGCAAATTGACAATTCCGCCCGTGACAAATCAATTACAACTGACCATCCCCATACTGGCCACCAAATGTGACGAACTAATCTTGAATAATAGCTAATTGATCGCGTCACCTTAAAGTTCAGTTGGTCTAATTGTCACGTCCACCAATGACCGGAAATTAAATGCAACTTCCCTACTGGTTTTATCAGCAAGAGCCTGTCTCTTATACACATCTAGATGTGTATAAGAGACAGTCTGGAAACTGTTTACNTGCAGCATTAATCATTTTTACCCTATCAGTTGTATCATGCTAAAATTGCTATTATTATAAACAATGTAGATTTATTTGGGAATAATAATTTAGATAAATTAAATACCATCTCTCACTTGTTTGGAGCTTTGAGTTTTGACATATTATCAATTGGCCCACCAGCCCTACCTAGACATTGAAGGAGAGGAGCTACTTCAGTCATATATAGAAGTGTTGAATGTACCTCTTCATTAATAATACAAATTAATTTTTTAATAATCAACTAATCTTTTAATACAGCAATAAGTTATTTAGTCACTTTATAAAGCAATACATTTTTCAGTCAGAAAAAGCATTGACAGAAAGTAGCTTTTGTGACTGAATAAAATATTGCTTTATTTAGTGACTAATTATATATGGTATTGCTTTATTAAAAGGCTAGTTGATTAGTAAATAAGAAATTTGTTATTAATAATATGACAATACATTCAACACTTCTAGTTCTATATATGACTGAAAGAGCCTCTCTCCTATGTCTAAGGTAGGGCAGGGATTCCCAAGTGGAAACTTGGGCTGAAGCCACCTGTGAATTGGACAATAGCGCCTATGAATTTGGCCAATTTTACCCATCCCTATGGTATTTTCCTATTTTCTTTGGTAGAAAGTAGAAAAACTGGCTTAACTTTTCCAGCAGCTTTCTAAAATCACCCATGAAACAATTGTTTTCACAATCAATTTTTGGAAACTTCTGCCCAATATTCCACATTGGGGTAGGGCTGGCGGGCCAATTGATGGCACGTCAAAAGTCAAAGCTCTGAACAATTAATAGAAAATATTAATGTTAATTATTATTCATAACTGAACCCTTATTGTTGCTAATCTTAGTAATTTTAGCATGTTATTAGGTTAAGAATAATAGGGTAACATAGTAACAATACTGAATGCTTCACTTATTGAATAATGGACAAAATTTGTTTCAGTGCAGCCAAGTTGCCCACATTGTGATATAACCGGTGATTTTGATTCCAAGTTCCAACCTGATCACAGGATTTAAAGTAACAAAGCATAAATGTTTAGAAATTGGTGATAAGAATGGGCTAATGTTGATCAGATCCATATTTCAAGTTGTGCAACAATATGCTGAAGTTTTGGCATATAACAATAATAACATTGATGTAAACAAAACATATCAATCAAGTTAGGTTAGTTAGTTCACTGGTTAACTGCAAAAGAGAAAAGTGCGCTCAAATCGACAAAGCCTTCAATAAAAACTATTTGAATTCCACAGGAATAGAAGCACTATATCCTGAAAATATCAAAATTTAACACATAACAGGGTGTTTCTCCTCGACCTCGGTGAAAAGCATCACTGTCTGGCTCTAGTCTATAGAAGAGTTCAGCAATCGACTGATGTGGAACGAACCAACGCAACTCAAAGTATTAACACTCAAAGAATAGGAGAACAAACATGAGCAACTCAATTGAATAACACACGATACCATATCATTGGTACAAAAATCACAGCCAGCAACAAAAATTAGTATAAACCTACAATAATAATTTGAATAAATTTAGCTTATGAGCGATGTCTTCCACTCAAGATGGCGTCTAGATATTAACTTGACTGAAGTGATGACTGTGGCGCCATCTACCGCTGAAGTTCAACAAACCACGGTAAATAACCTGAATGACCGGATTACGGTTAATGAGCATCGAAAACAAACGTGTGCTGCACATTTTTCGCCCGTTTTTTTCTAACAGTGTATATTATAACCGGCGATTTGAACGTTCGACTGGATCGTGTCGAAGACCCATCGGCTCGTCAGGTGAACGAGCTTCTGGCCACCTTCGGCATGGTTTGTCACGTGACCTTGCCGACGCACCACATGGGCGGTCTGCTGTACGTTGTCATCACGCGTGCTGACTTTCAAAGTCTGCCAGTGGACATCATCGAGATCGCAATGTCTGATCACCGACTACTTCGGTGGACGGTGCCATGTGTGCGCCCGGTGCCAGCGTACAATAAATACCGTTACCTGTCACCCGTGGCGCAGTTCGACTGCGATGCCTTACGCGAAAAGCAGCAGTCATCCCAACTACGTCGGCCTGCCTCGTGGTTGGCACTATCAGTCAACGACCCAGAGTGTTTAGGGACACACACCCAAGGCCATGCTGAAAGCACCACCTTATGACGGCGACTATGCGCCGTCCACTAGCGACGCCGCGACTTTAACTGAACTTCCCGGGGCTCGAACCCACGCCTAGCTCCTGCATCTCGGTGTCGCTCTACCGTCGTCACTGCGCATACAGCGGCCCTATAACCACTGCGCTACAGTGACGACCTTGTGCAACTCTACAACACCGAGATGATCTGTGCACTCGATGACCTCATTCCTGCACGCACATTTCCGGTACTCCAACGAGTCTCTGACCCATAGTTCAATGATGAATGTTGAGTCTCGAAGCGGAGGATTCGACTGCTCCAGCAGGCTGTATACCGGGCGAACAGACGCGGCAATCCTGCTGCTGCCGCTGCTGCCGCTGCTGTGGCCTCCGCCTGGCGAGATGCGCGGCGCAATTATGTCGACATTCTTCGTTCTAAAAGAGAGTCATTTTAGCGCCAGAGTCGACGCGCAGCGCAGCGATCCTCGAGCACTGTGGCGTTCGCTGGATAAACTCATGGGAAGTGGTCATACAGAGGCGTCGGGCGGCCTAAGCGTGGAGGAATTCTATGCGGTTTTTGAATACAAAATTTCTGCTGTGCGAGCAAAGTCGGCCGATGCTGCGCCAGCAGCATTTGCCTCGTGAAAGTTCGACTGCGTGCTCCAAGAATTCACTCGCCTCTTAGCTGACGTCATCGCTGCAGTGCGCGCGCTGCCCAACATGCAGTGTGCAAGTAATGCGCTGCCTAAGTTGTTCCTTAAGGAGAATTTTTTAACCCTGCCACCTTTTCTGGTCGATCTTTTCAATCGCTGCCTCACAGACGGTGTTGTTTTGATGAACTTCAAATCAGCTTACATTACGTCTCTAATAAAGAAACCAGACCTTGACGCTTCCAGTCCCAAATCATATCGACTCATCTCCAACCTGTCGATTTTGTCTAAACTCCTGGAATGCGTTGTGGCGCGACAGCTGAACATCCATCTTCAGCAGTCCGATCTCATGCTTCGCCTCCAGTCTGCATACCGTCTTCGCTACTCGACGGAAACCGCTGTGCTAAAGGTGCTTTCAGACATTCTGCGCACAATAGACCGTGGCGACATTGCGGCATTAGCTTTACTCGACCTGTCGGCCGCGTTTGACAAGGTCGACCACGCCACTTTATTGCATCGAATTGACGTATCATTCGTCCTGCACGGCAGTGCTGATGTGGTTCGAGTCCTATCTCAGCAATAGATTCAAATGCGTTTGACGGAGGAACTCTTCTACTACGCCATTATTGGTTACATGCGGCGTACCACAGGGGTCAGTTCTCGGCCTGATCCTCTTCCTGTTACAAAATGTCGATGAATTGCATATAATCGATTCACATAGTTTGATCCGCATATGTTCGCCGACGAATGTGTGCCTGCATGGACGCTGTCTCAGATTGGATTCGCTCAAACCGGCTCCAGCTCAGTGCATCAAAAACAGTCCCCGCAGTTGTTCCTGCCGTCGCATTCCCAACGCTTCTGGATGCATCTGCCGTTGCTGCAAACGAAGTGGTCGCCGGTGCAGCCTGTGAGGATCAAAGAATCCGTGGAAGTCAGGCTAACTAATTGAAATCATTCAAGCCGAGCGAGTTGCGGCAATGTTAGAATCCTATTATTTTATTTTTGAGTTATCGTGTGATTTCAACAAAATAGTGTCAGACTAATTCAATTTTAAAAATTCATATTATTATTTTATTTATATTAGTAGAAAGAAAGTCATATTGCCTACTTCATGAACACTTCTTCCTCAAAACACCTCCTCCATCTTCAAATCCATGTTACATGCAGGGTAATCGGGTCTCCTGAACGCGAGGCACAAAAAAAGAAGGTGGAGAAGTAAGAATATGAAGTATGTGTTGTCTAAAACACGTGTATCCGAGTTGAAAATGTCTGCCGAGTCCCTTACGAAAAATCATTGAGAATGTGGGCCCAAAATGGTATGTGCTCAGATGGGATAAAACTTTCTGTGCAAGGATAATCTAGGCAGCAAAATAGGTTGAACTCGACAACTCTGATTTAGTCATAGCATCCTTTGGCGAAACATTGTAAACAATTCGGTCTTGAAACGATATGGTTGTACGCAAGCGAGGAATAATTCATTTATATTCAAGAAAAGAATTGAATAATAAGGCTTGTAGTGAAAGCCGCCCGAACTCCGCAGCGAGCTTGCTCGCTGCCGAGACGCGTGAGGGCTGGTTATCTTACGTCTGGCCGACGCGATGCCATAGGAATGCGTGCGAGTGCAGGCCGTGTCGGCTGGACCACAGTACACTCCCACAACAGTGCACATGTCATCAATGAGCTTTTACTACTGCCAGCAAATTCTTTGCTATTTACAGCGCGATCTTAAAAAAAAACAAATAAACATAAAACATAATGATGTGCCGCCATTTTAAATCTTTTTCCATGTTATTTATTTCATTTTTCCGTTCAAGCAAGGACGTGATTATTGTAAAATTCATCATGATAAAAAATAATTTATGTTTTGATACCCATTCTTTCAACTGAATAACATATTTTATTTAACTTGTGATATTTTATTCTATTTTATTTATATTATTTAACTTGTGTGTTATTTTCTGTTATAGGCACGTCAAGGGAAGGTTAAAGAAAGGCGACGAATTTTTAACTTTTACTGTTAAGATCTATCAAGATCTATCAAACTACAGAGACAGTAATTCAGACTATACAGGGACCAAAAGTTTACTCATAATGACAGTGATACTGGCTGTCACTTGCACAGCAACAGCGAAGTATCCGTCTTCATGGGGATGTAGACAGAAGGGGAAGCTGTGAAACCGCAGTAGGGGTTTTTACAGGGTAGGGAGGGGGGGAAGTGAAAATATTGTGAGGCTCTTCTCAAATGGTCAAGGCTCGATCGATTCCTCACCACTATTAGGTGGTTTAGCATTTTGCACGCTGGATTCTTCACTGTTATTACATGGATCAGCGTTCTGCACGCTCGACTCTT